GACAGCCCACAGTCATGGCCTCAGTTGTCCTTTCATCACCTATGACAACAGGAGTCTCCATGCCAGGACAAATGGCCCCAGAGGACTGTGCCCTGGGCATTGCGTGGGGGCTGGACACAATCGCGGCCACATGAATCTAGGCGGCAGGATCCCAGGACTGCCTCTGTCTCCTCCCCAACTCGCACCCACAGAATCTGGGATCCTGTCTCTTTCTCCTCCTGTGACCCCGGCACCTGAATCTTCATCCTGGACCCCCTCAGACCCTGCTCTCAGCACCTCAGCTTCTGAATTTAGGAGCTCTGCAGACCCAGTCCCAAATCTCAGTTCTGATGGCTGACCCAGGGGCTTGGGGGTTGTGGGACAGGGGAAGCTTCCTGGAGCATCCCGCGCTGCAGCTGAGCCTGGGCTGGGAGCTGGGCGGCACCTGGAGGCTCCAGAGTTACACCTCTGGCGCCGACGGGAGGATTTCACCGCTGACGACCTCACAACCTGGCCCGCGGTCCCTCCCAACCCGGCCCATGGTCCCTCGGAGTACAGTACACATCATGGACAGCAGACTTGCACCGCGCCGCCTGTCCACTGAGTGGCTGTGGCTGCGCCAGTGCGGGTCGCGCTGCCAGGCTCCTAGGTTGCAAGCTGGGTCAGGGGCTCAGCCTAACTAGTAGAACATTGTTGATCCGATCCCCTGCTGGTGGAAATTAGCACAAGGACACACCAGGGCTAAGGAACTTCCCCAACACCCAGTCTAACATTGGGGCTAAACTCATTGCTCAATAAAATGCCAGATTAGTAGCAATTTAAAAAAATCAAGACTTCCTCACAGCACAGTATCCTTCCTTAAAGCTGTGGAAGATCCTACCATCTGTGTTTATCTTCAGGTTGTGAACACAAGTCAGAGTAGCCCTCATCTCACAGCAGGCTGCTCTAACCCATTGGTTAAAATGCAATTCTATGGCCTAGGCATTGTTCACCTGTGAGAAGTGAAGGAAGGGCTGTATTTTGGGAAAGTTCAAAGTCTGTTAGGAGAGCTTTCATTTCCTACTGGATTTCTGGACTGAAATCTACAGGTTAATTGATGCATTTTTCCTCCCTTTCTCTCAGAAATCAAAAGCCACAGGGTGTAAGATTCAGAAATTCCCGATCTGTCTTAAAAGAAACTAGTCCGGGTTCCACCTCCAATGATGGCAGACTAGCCTGTTTCAGACCAACCCTCCCTCCAAGAACAACTATAAAAGCTGCTCAAGAGGTAAGAACATCTGCTTGAAGGCACTGGAGTCACCAAGGTAGTGAGGACTTGATGGAGCCAGAGTCTAGAAAGAGGGACATCCCAGGTATGTGAACCCAATATTTGTTAACAGGCTTCAAGGCATTTTCAAGTTGAGCGTGCTGACTGAGAGCCTGAGAGGCTGGGTAGGGCTTTGCTACTGACTCTCCTGGCTGAAAGCAGAGAATACCAGAAAGATGTTTACCTGTGCTTTATTGATGACACAAAGGCATTGGACTGTGTGGGTCATAACAAATTATGGATAATATTGCAAAGAATGGGAATTCCAGAACACTTAATTGTGCTCATGTGGAATCTGTACATAGACCAAAATGCAGTAGTACACACAGAACAAGGGAATACTGCACGGCTTAAAATCAGAAACAGTGTGCAAGAAAATCAGAAGTTTTTGCAAAAGAGTAGATGCTAGATAATTCCACGTATGTAAGTTTGAAAACAGACCAAACTGATTTATATTACTTTAGCCCAGGATATTAGTCACTTTAGTGGAGCGGGGAGGGAATTACTATCTGGAGGGAGCATGACAAAATGCTGGTTACCCATTTCTTGATCAGGCAGTAGTAAGAACTGGGTGGAGAATTTGTGATAAATCCTAGCGCTGTCCAATTCTGATTTCATCCATTTTCTATATAGGTCTTAACTTTATTTATTTAAGTTTAAAAATTGTAGGTATATTAGGACCTGAAACACAAAATAGGCTAACAATCTGTGAAGATGAAAGCTGAATCTGGCAGGAAGCTGAGGGAGGCGGTCCGCAGCTGCAGATCTCAGTGAGTACCAGCAGAGGGCGCCCTTCAAAGCAGGAGCACAGCCAGGTTCGTGGAAATAACCAACACAACAGAAAATGTCTTTCAAACATGAGACAGATTTGTACATATCTGTGCAAATACATTTCACAACATAAAATAGGTCATTTTCTCAAAAATATAATTCACTAAAAACCAAACCAGTAGAGAAAGAATGTTTAAACAAACCAATTTTCATAAAGAAATAAAGTTGTTAAAGAGCTTCCCCATGAAAAAGCATGAATCCTCAGAAAGACTCCCAGAATATTCGTCCAACCCTTACAGAAATAAACAATCACAATGCTAACTAAATTATTTCAAACCATAGAACAATAAGGAAAACCTTCAACTTTATTGTATTAAATGAGAATAATAATATTCATAGCAAAATCTAAGGGAAATTGCACAAAAAGGAGACGGCAGACCAGCTTGCTTTATGAATGTCAGTGAACATATCCTTCATGAAAATAAATAAACAGAAATCAACTGCACAATTTTTTTAAATGGGTCATTTGACCTAATGGAGTTTGTTGCAGTAAAACTTTATTTACAAAACCAGGCAGTGGGCCCAACGTGGCCATGGAATGCAGTTTGCTGAGCCCTGTTCTAGTACCACTTCTATCTTACAGTGGGTTGCTGCTGGGGTGTGAAAGGACCCAGCTCATGAAAGGCCTATATGACCACACGGTTCCTTAATGTCTCATGATCAGATACTCCATCTCTCCCAGGGCCCAGCAGCATTCCAGGGGCTGCTTGTAGAACGGTGCATATATCTCTGCTGCAGATGGCTAGACATTGTTGCTCCAGAGGCCTAGAGGTCTGCTTTACAACTCTCCTCTTGGGAGCCACCAGACTCCACATGGCAACTGTGCCTACCACACATACCACTAGTGCTGTGGGAGATGCTCGGTCACATCAACTAATCAGCAGGGCTGCTCATACTACAAGCTGGACTTGCTGCAGAACCCTTCGTAATCTGGGTCCCACTCAAACCAGCAGCCTTCATGTCACCTGGTAAAATAGGTTAGAACAATAGTACTCTAGTAGGGAACACGCTGTCTCCAAACCCTGAAGAGGGCTACAAGTGTGATTCTTTATCAGTGGCAAGAGATACAAGGTACAATCATCTGTCCTTTACTTTTCAGATGTTCCAGCATAACCCAGACCACTCAACCCCTCAAGACTTCACCAATGTGGCAGGCCCCTAAGTCTCTGTACAGTTTAACTACCGCCCCCTGGACTGCGCCTGTGTTGCCAAAGTGTCCAGAGTCCATTCCAGTTCTTGCTCATTGGGTCCAATTAACATGATGCCTTCAAGGTGGTGGACAATGCAACGTTTTGTGGAATAACCAGGTGTTCCAGTCTTTTCACTCTATACTGGTCTTTTACATACCTTTCATGTCTCTACTTTGTGAACATATGGAATACAGTTATAACTGTCTGCTAACTCGAATATCTATGTCAGCTCTGGATCAGTTTAGATTGACTGATTTTTCTCTGCCTTTTAGGTCACATTTTCTTGCTTCTTTCCCTGCCTATTATTTTGTGTCTGTGTTTCTTTTGCTATTGAGAATATCCACAGCAAAACATACACTAATTCAACAGCTTCTACATATACCATTTAGTGATACTGATTGCATTCTTCGAGTTTTGCAAGCATTCTCATCCTCCTTTTCTGAGTTGTTCCTCACCCATTAACATAACTCACTGTTCCCTAAGGTTCCTAGCTAATCTTTCAAGTTGCTGTTGTCAATTTGATCCCATACACATAGTTCTTAAAAGAACTTAATGCTCATGTCAGACATTTTTTACTAGTTAAGCTAAACTATTGTTTGGTTTTAAGAAGACTTCAGGGGATATTTTTCACTTAACCAGTTATTTTTTATTGTATGCCAGGTGTTATGATTTAACTTGTTAGGCACTGGATGCTTTTGTATTCTTCAAATATTCTTGAGCTTTTATTTCTGGCACACATTAAGTTACTTGGTAACTGTTTGATCCTTTTGGATCTTAAGATTCTTTAGGCAGAACCAGAGCAGGGTTTAGTCAAGGACTAATTATTGCGCACCACTGACACAAGACCCTTCTGGAACTCTAGCCTATGTCCGGGGAATGATGAGGTTTTCCAATCTGGCTGCTGGGACAGGCACTATCCCCAGCCTGTGGGGCACCGGGTACTGTTCTCTGTAGCTCTTTCAGGTTCTTCTTTCCCTGTCCTTGGGTAGTTTCTTCATGTGTGTTTACTGATCATTACTGAACCCAATACTCTTGAAGGACCCTCTGCAGATGGCAGCCTGAGTGTAGCTCCTTCCCTTTCCACCTGTGGGAACAAAACATCCTGTGAGAGAGCAGGGCGGAGCCAGGACCATGAGGTCCTAGAAGAATCCACTAGTCATGGACCCCCCCCCCAGGAAGTTTCCGGAAGTCTGACTGCAGACCCACAGAGGGACCAGGAAACAAAAGCAAAGGGGATAGTGGGGCTGGACCAACCACTCTCCTAGATATCTGTCCTCAGCAGGGACATTGCCCCTCTGATCTGCAACTGTGGGAATCAGGTCCCCATCACAAAAATCATCTAACATGAAAAACTTACCTTCACCTACACATGTGATTTACATGTTAGCACAAGGCCCCAGGCTGGGTAAGCGCATGTGTGTGTATGATACCTCCCTATAAAGAGGCAGAAGATGCGAAAACTCCTACTTGGGGATCAAAACCCTCCAGTTGGATAAGAAAACTCAGACCCCACCCCTCTCTACCTAAGCTCTTCTTCCGTAGATCACAACTGCAGCCACCACAGCGCCAACAACCAGAGGTCCAAAGACGACCAGGCCAGCAACAATTCCCATGATGGACTGAGGAGGTGGCTCTGGGAAGAGAAGGGAAGGTGAAGGGTCCTGACCCACAGTTCTCAGCCCCAACCCTGCTGGAAGCCTCCAAAAGGCTCATGCTTTCCCTGAGACAAAGTTCCGCCCCCGTCCCCTTTCACCCCATTTCAGGGTGAGAGGCTCAGTCAGCCCCTCGTGCTGCACACGGCATGTGTATCTTTGCTCCTCTCCAGAGGGCACCACGATGGCTGCCCACTTCTGGAAGGTCCCGTCCCCCGCAGGCCTGGTCTCCACAAGCTCCATGTCCTGGGTCTGGTCCTCCTCGTCCCGCTGCCAGGTCAGGGTGATATCCGCTGGGTAGAAGCCCAGAGCCCAGCACCTCAGTGTGGCCTCACGGTCAGAGATGGGGTGGTGGGTCACATCTGTCTTTGGGGGGTCTGAGGAGAAAGGTAAGAAACTTCAGAAACTCTGCATTTTGTCCCATGGACCATGGAATCAGGGCTCATGTGACCATACTGACATTGGACAGGACATTTGGGCGGAGAGAGGGAGTGTCAAACCCAGACACTACTCCAGACTCAGGGGTCTGGAATACTCTATTCCTTAGAAAGTTCTAGAATCTAGGTGAGACTGCCCAGTCGAGTAGGGTCCTGGTCTGAGGAGAGCAGGGGTTTCTGTCCCTGACCTGGGTGGTGGCCAAGAAACTCAGTAAAGGTGGAGTCAGACCACCAAAGAGGTTGGGTGTGGAGCAGAGAACAAGGGCTGAAAACAAGTCCCTGGGGGTTACCAAGGCCACTGCCAGGGTCAAAGGATCTGCTGATCAGCTCTTTCAGGAATCCTCTCCCCCACTGTCCCTAGAGAGACTGGATCCCTTAACTGTCTCTCTGACAGAAATGCATGTTCTCTGGGTAAGTCACTCTCTAGTGCAGATTCTCCGAATAGGGGCCTACTCCTCCCTCTCCCCGACCCTTGGAATAGCGGGAAGGGGTATTCAGGTGTCTGTCCCATTTTCCTCCTCTCCCTATGGGAGGCCAGCTAGGAGAACAGCCTCAGCCAAGGGGAGATGTGAGAGTCGCCCCACACCCCTCGTACCTGCGCGCTGCAGCATCTCCTTCCCGTTCTCCAGGTACCTGCGGAGCCACTCCACACACATGCCCTCCAAGTAGGCCTTCCAATTCTTGGCCACACCAGAGTCCTCCCACTTGCGCTGGGTGATCTGAGCAGCCGTGTCCGCCGCCGTCCAGGTGCGCAGGTCCTCGTTCAGGGCGATGTAATCGGCGCCGTCATAGGCCCACTGTTCGTACCCGCGGAGGAGGCGCCCGTCGGGCCCCACTTCACAGCCAAACATCCACTGGAAAGTGTGAGACCCTGGCCCCGCCCCCGCGGTCAGCCCCGCCCCCGCGGTCAGCCCCGCCCCCGCGGTCAGCCCCGCCCCCGCGGTCAGCCCCGCC